ATTAAAATATATTATCTTAATAAAATTTTGAGTAATTTTAATTTAAAAAAATGTCCAAAAGTGTCCAAAAGTGTCCACGTAACAACACTGAATATGAGATACTATTCACAAAGAAGTAGACTAGAAATCCTTCTACAACTATATAAATTACCAATGTTTACTCACACAAAGACAAACAAACTCAAAATACTTACAACTAAAAGCATTTAAACTAAAATTACTATTAGAAGAGCTGCCAACACTAGAAGTACTACATAAACGCAACAACAAAAAGTACCTGAATTCAATATATGTAAGATGCCAAGCAACAACAAAAAGCAATTATTACTTGATAACTTGTAACAGCAATAGCATGAGCTTATAAAAAATAATAACAGAAACAGTTAGCAAAACCTTAACTAAATGTGAAGTCACAAATATTCAAACTAGATATAAAGTTATAATTCTAATAACTCAGAGTATCTGTTTAACTGATTTATAAACACAACTAACAAGAGTCATACTAAAAATACTTTTTCAAAATAGTACAAGACTAATTAACAAAATAGCAAAAGTACCAAGATCAAAACACAGTCTATTAATTTACTTAATGCACAAAATCACACAAAAAATATATAAAGAAATGTGGTTAACATGATGTAAAGAACAATATAACAACCTACTGAAACAAAATATTTCACAGATAACAGATGATAAAACAGATATGCTAACAGTCTCAACAGCAATAACAGATACTTATAACACAGGACTAACTGAGTTAAATATAAAAATTAAACTTGAAATATAGAAAAAAATGTTTATAAATCACAATATCTCACCAAATCATATCAATATAATTGTAAACTAAGTGAGAACTTTGACCCTCTTTAGCAAAGTCTGGGTCATAGGTAAAGTAGCCTAAGCCTTAGTTTTCAGAGATTAAATAATATGTACTACAGATAAAAATGTATTTAAATATTAATAATCAATAAAGAAATCAAGGCAAGACCTCATTTTTTTTTTTAAAAAAAAAAAAACAATAATATGTTGCTTTTTTAATAAATCAAGAGTAATTTGAAATATTTTGAAACATGATAAATATCTTATAGCATTACATAATTGTGAAAGAAATCATGAATGTGTTAGCAATTATTGAATAATAAATAAAATAAATAAATATGACTAAGGATTCAGTATAATTTAAAAATTATAACAAGTGCTAATATATATAATATCTGAATTATCTGCAAATTTTTCTATTGCAGTTATTTATTATAATATATGTCTAGATATCTGAATTAATATAAACATTTTTCTATCAAACATACTATGCTTTTTTTTGTTAATAATATCCATCATTAATGATATTATATATATATATATTATATAAAAGAAATAAATTTATTTAAATAAGACTATACAAACTTAATAAATCAGTTCTTATAACCCAGTCGAGGCAAAATTTACAAACCTTAAAAAAAATTTCAAGTATACTTTCTATCTAGGTGAGTTTTTTTTTAAAAAAAAATAAAATTAAAAGCTAGGTTGCCAGGTCACTTTTAAAAATTTTATATTATAAAAACTGATTTATTAAGTTTGTATAGCCTAATTTAGTTTAAATAATAATTTTCTTAATTTTCTTGATAATTGAAAAAAAAAATACTTAAATACTTGTGTAATACTTTAAATACTTAAATACTTAAATACTTGTATAACACTTTAAATACTTAAATACTTAAAGAAAACCTGATTAACTTCCTGTTTTGGATATTAATTAAACTTTTATTGATATGAATTAATAAGCATATAATAATAATGATAATAAAATGTAAGATTTTTAAAACATGTATTTTATCTTAAACTATGTCTCTTAAAAGAAATAAATATCCTAAAAATAATCCATTTTTTAGGCTTCAAATTAGATTCCTTTGTTAAATCTTCTACTTAAACAAAACCATACCAAATATATATATAATATAATTAATGAAGGACATTATCCTCCAAAAAATACACTACATTATACTTCAACTTACAGTAGCATTAAAGTTTAATATAAAATTCCAGATGAATACTTAGTTAAAACTAGTTGGAAAAGAAAAAAATTGAAATATACAATAGAATATGAAATCAAATATGAGTCAAATAGTCCAGTTTTTAGAATTAGATTTGAAGAAAATTCTCAACAGTATACTATAGAAATAAAAGAATCTATATCTAAAATTGCTAATAAATACTTATAAGTCAGTACAAATTTTTAATAAATTTATATAATTCATTTTATAAAAAAAATCTAATATTTTTAACATAGAAAAAAAGAAATATTACTCATGCAAGAATTTCTAGTGTACATATATTTAGTTTTAATGCCACAAATGTGGAACAAGAGCATAAAAAAAAAGAAAAAAAAAATCAATAATTATTTTCTTTCAAACTTTTTAATGTGCTAAGTAAATCTATGAAAACAAAACATTCTAGAGCATTTTCTTTACAAATAGGTAAAGCCTTTGAAAAGGAATCTTTAAAATTTTATAATCCAATTAATCAACTAGTTTTACAAGAAGTTCAGTTTAACATTCAAGATAAGAATTACTTGATTAATTATTATAAAGAAAATGAAAACCAATGTATTGATACATTTGTAAAAGTTATTAATAAAGGTTCTATTTCTCAAAATGTTTACAGAAATCTAGCTACACTTCAATCTGACCTACTACAAGATTATAATATCTCAAATGCTAAAAAAAAAATCAATTTAGAAATGAATAAAGAAATTCTAATCTTTATTTTAGATCTTGAGAATATTTTTATTATAGCAAATAATAAAATATTTTATATTAGTGATCAGAACATTGAGGATGCAATGTTAAAATATGTTGAAAAAGCAGAATATAAAAGAATCATAGACATTTTGCTTTTCATTATTCTAAGTCTCATAGAATAAAATGTTCTTAATATAAATAACTCAGTTATTAATATCCATATTTTAGATAATATTACAAAAATTACATTTTTACATCCATGTAATTTTATGTAAATTTTAGTAAATTAGATTTTATGTAATTTTTTCATATGATAAAGTACTGAAATTACAGAAGTATTCAAAGTTATAATTATATGAAATATTAATTTACTGAAACTTATACAAAATTACATAAAATTACAGTAATTTAACAATTTTAATTTCAGGTAATAGGTGCAACATCAGAAGGAAGTTTAAAACATATTATAATTACTTGTTCTATTTTAGATAATATTTTAAATATTTATAGAGCTGAGTATCACTATATTATAATTTTATACCTTGGTGAGAAAAACTACCAAATACTACAAAAAAAGTAATAAAAATAATGATCAATAAATTGAATAATTTAGTAACAAATAGATTAAATGATTCTAATAGAATTAGATAAAAGGTTATTCTATATTTCAGTAGTGATTAGAAGTTTTTAAATATAGTTTTGGGGTTTAATATGCCAAATGCAAATCACTTTTGCCTTTGGTACTTGTACACAAAAAAGAAAATTAGTATCTATAACAAAGTTTTTATTATAGAAAAAAATATAGAACAGCTTAGGACTGTAAAACTGCCTCCTGGTTATTCTAAAGCTCTTCTTCTTTATATAATTCCTTTAAAATACTATGTACCTAATAAGCTTCACATAATGCTAAAAATTTAGAATCATTTGTAGTCATTAGTAATCCAAAAGCTGAAGTTAGAAAATAAATTTAATAATTATATCAGAAAAATCATAACTACAGAAATGCAAAGAATTTGTGTTCATTTTCATTTTTGACAAGATCATAATACACAAAATTGGTCTTATACATTTTTTATGAGAAATAATAAAAAAATTGTATTATGTAATTTCAATTTTAAATTAATTTTTAATAAGGAACAAAGCATGCAAATTAACCAGTTGTAGAGAGATTTTTATGCACTTTATAGTGCTATAAAGCAACCAAAATTTGATTTTACTCTTTTTGCAATTCAAGCAAAAAATTAGTTTAGTTTGTTTCTTATGTCTTCACAAGAAGAACCAAATACAATATATTTTAAAAAAAACTTTATCATCCAAAGGATGTTACATTATATATACATGTTTTAATTTACCATATACCTGAATTTATGAAACATCATGAACATTTTGGTCTGGCAGCATTTTCTTGTTCCACTATAGAAAAAAAAAATCATGACCAAGTATTTACTTTTTTTAAAAAGACTATGAAAGATGGTGGTAATGATGCAGATAAAAAATCTGCTATTTTTGAGATTCTTTATTATGAAAATTATTCTATATATTTTACTTACAAATCTACCTTTAATTTAGTCTCTAACATTAAGCCTCAGCATATTCATATTAAGAGTAATAAGTAATATTAATTAGATAAAACAAATATTACTATTAATATAAAATCAGTATCAAAAAAAATCTACTAAGATGTGAAATGTTAGTATTGGTATGAAAAAAATAAATACAAAATATTCATTATTATAAAAAAAATATAGTAATAGTTATATAGCAAGTATTCAAATAAAATAATATTTATTAGGGTTATAAAAATCATAATAGAACAATTTTATTATAGCTAAAAGTATGCATACACACTATACTTGTTACCTAAAACTATTTTTCTTTTTTTAAAAGGTTTCAGGTTTTCAAGATTTTAGTTTTGGCGTATAATTTTAGGTTTCAGTTTTTTGAAACCAAACCTATATTTTGGATTTCAGATTAGTACTTCTCGAAACTAGTTTTAGAAAGGTTTATTTTGAGTAACAGTATAACACATATACATATATATATATTAATGTTCTTTCTTTTTTTTTAGTATTGAAAAAAGAAATATCTAAAAACTTAGTTAAAATAAAATAAAACATAATGCAATAGCAAAAATTAAACAAAATCTTATTAATTATCAAAATATCTGAAAATCAGAGAAATCAATATCTTAACTCATTATTTTAGTTTAAATATTGCAATAATTAACTGCATATAACAAGGTATTTATGCTATTACTTTTCTGAGTAAGTAGTTTGTCAAGAAAGTCAAACTAGTATTTTTTTTACTTTGCACAAATAATTCATTTGCAAAGGTTATAAGGTTTCCAAATAAATTGAAAATTATAGTAATTGTCAAATTAATCAGAAGTAAATATAAATAAAATATTAGTATCTAAAGATAGTGATACTTTGTTTCAGATATAAATTATTTTAATCTTTTATATATATATATGATATATTGGTAATCATAATTCTTTATTCAGGATCACTTATTGTATTAATTATATATATATATAATTATAGATTTGGTTGTTTCAACATTACAAGATCAAGAAAAAAATTTTTTTATATTATATGAATACATTACTTGAATACTAAATCAATAAATGAAACAAATTAGCATGAATAAAAGAAATCTTATATAAGTGATACTCAAAAAAAATCTATAACTAAATCTTTATTACTGTAGTAATTATTGTATTATATAATGTATAATACAAAAATTACTATAGTAATAAACTTAAAGATTCAGTTATAGGTTTTCTCTAAGCATTACTTATATCATAAAATAATTTTTTAATAAAAATCTAAATACTAACTCTGATAATAACAGATAACTTACAAACTTTACTATATGTTTCTTCATAGAATCTAAACAAATAAGATGTTATTATTAGATTTTAAATACAATTCTGATGCTTTAAATTTGCTTTATAAATGCCTGTACCAATTTGGTAGTATAATACAATTCAAGATCATATTATCTGCTAGATTAACAAAAAAAAAGAAAATATATTATATATATAACTGTAAATTTTTTTTTAAAAAAAAAAAAATCAATTAATTTTGCTTAAATTTGTTGCATATAAAAGCTTATATACATATATTCAGCTGAAGTTTGATAATCTTTTGCATCTTTTTTGGTTTTTACTTTCTATTTTATCCCTTAGATTATAGACCAATACAGGCAAATTTGTCTGTGTTTTTGCATTTTTTAGCTCTGATCTACTTTTTTAAATTGTTAAAATATATAAATAAAATTTGATATAATAATATTTGAAAATAAGAATTACTTTTTTG